TTTTGCCATACTTGGGAAATGGAAATGTCAGGCAGCAATGCCATCTTTTTGCCAGTTCACATTACCATTTGCAGGTTTGCCGAAATCAAATATATCTTACGAAAATTTAAGTTTTGTCAATGGATAAAGCAATCTCTTTATTTCTCTTTCTACTGAGATATAGTTTGACAGGAAACACAAGCTTTATTGTGATCCCTTTTAAATGAGAGGTGTGTCCACATCTTGCCAAAGCATTGAATCAGAGCACCTGTTCAGTCTCAGTACTTGTTATTTGCTTATATCGTTATAACTTTGAAGCAGGTCTTGTCAACAACTGACGTTATCTCTTCATTTCTCTTTACATTGAAATTTAGTTTAACGGATATGTCTCTTATTATTTAAGTGAACAAATATCAATAAAAGATTGTGACCTGTTAAGTCTTGAGCAAGGTGGAATTTTTCCTAACATGTGAGGTGCATAAATAGTTCGTAGTCAAGGTGTTAAAAATATAGACAGTTCATAGTTTTGGAATGAAAGAAAGACAACAAAAGGCAAGCAAATTTACATGAACCGTGTAAAAGCTAGCAGTAGCAAAAGTTTACACTTATGATAACCTATCCCCATAATTTGATAAAGAAACTGGCGGGCACATTCCTTAGCAGCATGAAATATTTTAAATTGTAAATTTAGAACCTTCAAAGTGAAGTACAGACATGGGAAGAGCTTACAGCAGATTCAGGATCCGGGTCAGACATCTGTTCTATCTTGATGACTCTGGCCTTCATCTCTCTCAACAGAACCCTGGCTGCAAACTGAAATTAAGCAACATGTTATCTTATTTTTCCTGGGAAGCAGATAAAATCTTTTTCTTCTGTCTAAAAATTAGAGTCAAAATACCATTGAATCATAATAACATTCATTCTTTTCCACAATAGAGTACATTTGGTTGCTTTTAAGCACAATGCTGTTTTGAGAAAATCGAAGATAAAGTTTTTGGATCCATGAAATCGGTCTTAAAAGACAAGGTGGATTTTCTCTATAACCAAACAAATATACACACCCATGAAACCAAACTTCTCCTATTGGTAGGGCAAAGTCCACTTTTGGTGTAAGTCAAGATTTCTGAAAACCCCCGAATTCTAGGTTAGCCCGCTTGTCCTTAAAAGCGACCATTTTAGAAAGACAAAATAGATATGAGCTTTTGCCAATAGGTGGGTACCTAAAATGTAGCACAGAGGGTTGATAAAGTTTTTAATATCTCGTTTTTACCAGAATGTTTCTATTCATGTATATCTCCTCCTACAAAAACATGTATTTACAGACCTACAGATGGCATGCTAAGCTGTGTAACTGGTGTTACATAACATCAAGACAAATTCTTTCGAACATAACTCATAACTATGATGACACGTTTGCAAGAATTTGAACATACAAAATTATTTCAAGTTTTCTTATTACTTCAATTTTCAAACATAGCGTAAAGAAAGAGAATTTAAAATGGTGAGGATCTCAAGAAAAGAGAAATTCTGAATGGTGTTGCGTTTGCCTTTGTGTCATCATAGTTATGTCCGAAAGAAATGAAAAACTTTCTGTTTTCATATCTTAATTTCTTTTATGAAAATTTGGGCAAACAACGATTCAGAAGATTCAATTCGACTCGAAGGAATGCATGTTAAGCTGAAGAGATGCCACTTTATTCACATTTTTAGTAGTAGTTTAGTAGTATGGGGTTCTACGGCGCTCGCAACTGCAAAAGGTCATGGGAGCGCGCGAAACACAAGTTGGGGGGTTTTTTTATACGTTGTTTACCGCACGGCTGTGTATGGGTTATTTGATCTTAAAAGTTAAAATATTAAAAATTTGGTGTGGATATATGATTTCACACTAAAACAACTTTCATTTTAAAAATTTAATTTCGTGACCAAATGCTTGAAATATAAATACTAGGCTAATTTTGGGGCGAGGAATTTAGTGGTGACGTCGAAAAGTGAAAAATATAAATATTTAATTACCTAATTCGCTTAATAATTTGAATAAATTATGCAAAAATTTCAAAATGACGTTCTCAGTTTAAAAATTTGTTGCCAAGGTCTAAAGACAAAAAACACACAAAAGGATATTTCAGCCCCCCCCCCCCCCCCCCCCCAATTTGGTATATTAGTGTATTAAGTGAATATTTGATGTGCTAATTAGCATGAGTTGAATAAGTTATGCAAAAATCTCAAAACTATGTTTTCAGTACGAAAATATTGTGTCTAATTGACTCTAATACCCACTGCACATTGAGGGATCGGTTCTGTAACACAAACTAATTGCCTAACTCGAAGCCTCGAAAACAAACACATTATTTTTTTGGGGTCATTGTCAGCTTCGTTCCATATGTGCCACAATGGTCGCTTTTAACCCTCAATCTGGCTAGCCCCGCCTACAAAACCAAACTGAACCGATTGTGCCAGGTGGCATTGGGTACTAAGAAATAAAAGGTAAAAAATAAAAAAGGACATTTCAGTGCACCCCCTCCCCCTTCCAAACTGAGTATATAAGTTTATTAAATGAAAAAAAAATAAATAAATAAATAAATATGATTAGCAAATTAGCCTAAAGTTGATTTAATTATGGAACAAGGGGAAAGATAAGATTGGATGGGGGGTGGCTCAAGGACTAGTCCAATTATAACATTATTCCTGGCAAATGTAGGGAAAAAAACGACGGCCCAAACTTCCGTAAAGTGCTGATCGCGACCGCCGGTCGCGATAGACATTGGCATAGTATAACGCGATATACGAAAAGAATGAAGTACTAATTTTTATACTGTTGGCTGGTAGGCTACGCAGAATTGATTTCGCCCGCCATTTTTCTTGTTACGGGGTTCGGTCGAGGCGCAAGGAGTTTTTTGTGTCACGTTGAAGTCAAGTGACAGCAAAATTCGAAAATTCGCGATTGCGACCCGCGACAAACATGGAAATAGTGTCCCATCAGATTCAGATGAAGATGTTCCGCGTATTTTCCTTGAATCGGAAGATGATTTCGAGGGTTTTGATGCTAGAGCTAACACTTTGTGGAATATAATGTATGCCTGCGATGCATATAGACTCTGGTCTAGATCTAGAGAACTAATGGGGGCTCTCTTGGCCTAGAGGTTAAGGTGTTGGCCTCTCATTCAAAGGTCCCGGGTTCGAATCCGGGGAGCGACCAAAAAATTTTCTTCTCTAAAATTGTCTCCTTTCACCTCCTTTCCTGCTCTCTAGCAACGTTCTGTTGTCTGCTTTCATTTCCACTTTCTGCCCCCACCCCCTCACCTCCTTTGCCCCCTCCTCTGGGCTCCTGACTCTTTCTGCAGCCATTCTACTGCTACTCTTTGGCCCCTCCTTACTGCTGCCTTTCTGCCACACCCCTGATCTTCTGGTAGGAAAGATCTACACCTAGCCTTCTCGGACAAGGGCGAAAAATCTCGGAGGGCCCGTGTGCAAGCTGCGCACGTTAAAGATCCCTTGGTGGTCTAAAATCTTTAAAAGTAGGCTTTGGCCGCCACCCGGGCAAAATTCAAAATTTCCTACCAATTGAAAATATTAGGTGTGTCCCGCGCGCTCATATGACCTATGCAGTTGCGAGCGCCGTAAAACACTTTACAAAAACAAAAAAAACAAAGAGGACTAATGAACCGGCTGTTTTTATTCAGTCATTTCCAACACCACTACTACAACAATAATTCACAAAATACTTTTTGCTTCACATATTCATAAAGAACTTTCAATATTCTAAAACTTTTATTCTTACTTTCATTAGAAATTTAGACAAATAAAAAAGTTATTAGCAAAAAAAAAGCTTATGTGCTAATCTGGCGTTTTTCCAAAATAAACTCAGCACAGAGGGAAAATATAAGGGGAAAGAAGTCAACGCTCTAAGGGTTAATTATCACTAAAAAAGAACTACAAAATGATATGTAAATTTAACAGCAGAAATGAATTTTACATCTAATAACATTTCCAATTAACAAGTTATCATTCAAATGATTCAATTAATTACTGAGACAGGATCTTACAGAAACTTTTTTTGTGGTCTATTTTTTAAGAATACGTTTTTAATATTATAAAGATCACTCATGCTTTGCAGCACTTAACCCATTATTTACAGACCGATTTTTTTAATTATAAGAGAATAATACTAAGAATAGACAGCTCTTTCTCATGCAGTACAAACAAAATAGGGCTAAAGTAAGTGAAAAGTCTTTTTTACTGGCATTGCTCTTTTCAAAAAACGAAGAAAAAATTGTAACACTTAAAGATTTAAAAGATGGTTGAGACTTTTAGTTTTTAGTTTTAGTAGAGGTTTCACAGTGCTCGCTACTGCATAAGATCATATGAGCGCCAGAAGAAAAGAGGTGTTACAAGAGAGTAACAAACATTTATAAAAAAGAAGAAGGGGAGATAAGGACGATAGATGTTTGATAGGAAAGAAGAAGAAGCAAACCACACCACAGCACCCGCAAACCACCCACCGTTGAGACTTTGTACAAACAATGTGTCCCTCCCTGCTCCTTGAGAAAAAAAATAGACTTACAAGAATAGTCTTCATGTTTCTACTAGTCAACACAAGGTCATCTCCCTTGTCAGTGGCTAGAGTTGCAACAGCAATCGCGCCTGTTTTGCCGCTCCTACAGATACAACAAAATTATGAAATTAAGTAGTGGCATGTGTGTGTGGTGGGGGGGGGGGGGGGGGGGGGGGGAACAAGGTTAACTCCCAGCAGTTCATGCAGTACTATATCGTATAAATATAAACGATAGCTAGTGATGTGGTATTTCACCCATAACATTAAAGAAAGATTTTGTAAGGTATTTTTATTAAATAAAAATGACTAAATAGACTAAAATAATATAAAATAGGTATTAAAATTGAAGGTTTTATTATAAAATGCTCGCTCTGAAATTTTCAATTTCTTCAAGGGCAATAACCGAGAATTTGTAGAATGCAAAAGAAGGGCCCTCATTTCTTTATTTTTCAACAGAATGAGGTGTCTTTTACAAATTACATGCAGAATTGAATGTAATGTACTTTCTTATCAAATTAATGTTAACTCTAAATTGTAAAAAAAAAATTCTTTGTGATTGTTGGGGCAGTCCGATTTCTATTTCTGCATCTATTTTTTGGTAACACGAAATATATGTCACACCTCGAGAAAGCTTGACAAATATCAAATGTATTGGCTAGGTCAGAAAGACCATCTAATTCCCTTTCTGGAACAGATAGATTATTGCAGGAGGCTTGAGAGCAAGAAGTCATGATATGAAATTTCCAGATTCAAGGGCAAAAATTAGGAATAGTGGGATATACTAGAATCACTCTCATTTCTGTATTTTCCAACAGAATGGTGTTGACACATAATAGCAGAACTGAATGCACTTTCCCATGAAATAATTGTAAACTCTAAATTCTCAAATACATTTTGTTTCCCTTCTTTGTGACTTTTGGAAAAGTGTGATTTCGGTTTTTGTTTCTATTTTTAGTAACAAGAAAAAAGGTCCCACTTCAAGACAGCTTGACAAAAATGAAATCCATTGGGTAGGTCTGAAACCCTATCCAATTCCCTTTCCATTGATATATAAAATATGTCTATCTGGAGTAGATAGATTATTGCATGAGGCTTGAGGGTATGGAGGACCCCTGAAACATAAATGAAAAAGCCAAACAGGCAAAACTGCTGGGAGAGGTAGATAATTTCAAACAACAGCTTTGGCAATGAAATCCCCAAGAAAGTACTTTTAAAAATCCCTCCTCTGAGCAAAGAGAAAAAAAGTCAACACAATGGTCACACGGAGCTGGGCCTGAGCATGACAAAATAAAACAGAGTCAAAAAGTAGCACTGTAAATGGCACCTTCTTTCAACATCTCCAAAATGAACAGATCATGTTCAAATACAAAACGTAAGCCCAAGACAAGAATAATGATTCTTTTTTCCTTTTCAACAAATGGTGCAGGTCAGGAGTCAAGAGCAAGCCGTATCCTACAACCAAATTACTTCTTGTAGATTCAAAAGGCAAAAATTTAGACAATTTCAGAAATCCAAAATTTCCACATATCCATAAAAATCAGCACCTTTTAATAAACTGTCAATAAAAACAAGAAGCAAAATGCATGAGGCAAGTCATTACAATCTGTAAGTAAATCATCCTTCAACCTGGTCATCCAGTGTAAATTCATGGAATCTGTGGCATGGTAGAAAAGTTATGATGGATCTGAAGAATGATTTACTAGATACAAATTTACTATACTGAAATGGAACTTGCATTTGTTACATTTCACACTTTCACTCACCTTGGGGAGATTGAAGTTTCATCACCCTGAAAAAAAATTCACAAGTAAAAAAAGTGAAAATTTAAATTTAATCAAGAACTTTTAAAGAAACATGAAATTTTAAATGAAAGTAGCAAATTCTAAGAAGAGTGTGTTTTTTTTATTTTTTAAATCCATTGATAAATAAAAGTTATTGGGGTCTCGTGTTGCAAAATTTTGGGGGAATGTTGGAAAACAATACAGAAAAGTTGGACATTTTTAAATGCATTTCTATAAGCCAGTAATGAATATAATATGTGAATGATACTAGGCATCTTCATGTGATTTTTAGTGCAGAATCTAGTTCAGTTATCACTTTTTCAATGTCAGTACTACTCTACTTTGGATCATTAAAACTAATATTTGCATGAAAATTTGAATTGTGCTACAAAGCTTCAACAGTGACCGATAGAGAGGCACAGGTTTGCGACTAGCGAGGCATGACAAAACTTCACAAGTTTTCAACACATTTTAAAATTTCATTTTGATCAGTGTTTTACGGTGCTCGCAACTGTATTGATAAGGTCATATGAGCCCATGGGACGCATAGAATTGGAATATGAATCCTCCATATAGATCCAGTAAACTAAATAAATCTAGATCTAGATCTAGAAGAACAAGTGAATAGGATCTAGGAATAGGCCTTGAACTAGAAATCCGCATCCGATTCCGAACAGAGGGGCTCAGCTGAGTCTAGATTCTAAATAAATAAATAATTCACGCACCTGATGAAATGCCTTTTACCAACATTAATATTACAGCACAACCTTTGATAGGGTTTGACAAAATAGAATTGGAATATGAATCCTCCATTGAGGTCTATAATGATCTATATAAATCTAGATCTAGATCTAGATTCTATTATCTAAGTGAGTCGGACTGGAATGAATCCACACGATCTGAACAATTGAATTTGTCAACAAAACGAAATTCAAAATGGCCGCTCGAGCACGAAACTGAAAGTAGATAATTTAGGTCGTCGTCTTTTTTCGTATTCGCATTTCTACTCAGGTTCCGACAATTATGTCTGAAACGCCGACGTCGGCAGTCGGCGGTGCGCGTGTCGGCGGTCAGCACGAAAACGAAAGTGCCGACAAAGCCGACGGGAGAAAAGGGGGACGCTGGCAGTCGGCCAGGCCTCGCACTTCGCACATTGACTGATACAGGTGGGCCTAGCGATAGCATCGGCCCCCTCGCGGGTCGCGTCGCGATTGTCGGATTTCAGACGATTGTCGGCAAACATGCAGGTCTAGATCAGGGGTGCAGCTGAAAGACAGCAGTAAGAAGGAGCCAAGTGTAGAAAGGCTGCAGAAAGAGAGAGGAGCCCAGAGAAGGGGGCAATGGGGAAAGGAAGTAGGGGCAGAAAGTGGAGACAAAAGCGGACGACAGAACATGGTTAGACAGCAGGAAAGGAGGGTAAAGGGAGAAAATTTTTAATCGCTGTGAGGTTACGAACTCAGTACCTACTGAATGAGAGACGAACATTGTAACTTCTTGATTACAAGAGCCTCCCTTTAACATGCACTTTTCTTTATTAAAATGAAAAACAGATCTTGCTTCGTGCTAGGAAAACATGTAACCTAAAAACATATTTAGAGTACAATCTTTAAGCAGTATCTAGTCTGTGAAAATGAAATTATTTATGTTTAAAAAGAGGGTGGGTAAATACAATAATTTTGATAAATGCCAGTCACTCCTCGGAGCTCAATTTTTACTTAAAAGCTTTATTTAATAAACAGTTACAGTAGTGCTGAAGTAACAGATACTCACTGCTTTTCAGTTATTCAACTTTTACCAACTTACCTTGTTCAAAGAGAGCAGGGACCTGGAAATATCCAAATCAGCTACCTGGGCTTTGCCAGAGTTGAAACTGTCTTGACTGCTATGTCGACTGGAATCACTGGAGAATGAACAGTTGAGCTCATTTCTCCGGTACTGGTCAAAAGAGAAACTGTTGGAACAAAATTCGTCTTCCACATCAGGTAAGCTAATATTGTTTGAATTGCAGTCTACCAAAGTCTTTTTTCCCGGCAATGGACTTCTGGACTCATCACACAATGTTGAGGTCGAGGACGACTCATGTTTATTCACTTTATGATGCAAGACATACTGTCTTTCTGGGTTATAGAATTCTGCCTGCATAGAAAGTCGGCCATCAGCCTCAGATGCCGCCGCAGAAGCCACCCTGGCACTCATCGCAGCTATTTCTTTGCACATCACAATTTGCTGACCTTCGGCACCCTGAAACATTTAAAAGAAAACATTAAGAGTGGAACATCTTCAATGTGTAGATATCTAATAGGTTTCTAATTAGAAAGCATCATGCCGAAAAGTGAAAAAAAAAAATATGTACAGACTCAGATGTGCTGCAAAAACAATAAAATAGCATTAAAAAAATATTTGGTAATACAGTGGGAATAAAAATGAATTTCAGTCAAACCTGCCTTAACGGCACATGTTTAGAGAAAAAAGACCTGATTTAGCATTCTTTCGGTTTCCCAAAGATCAAGTAAAATGAGTTTAATTTGTTTAGCATTGAGATTCTAGTTTCTGTCTATAGTATTGGACTAGTACTACTAGATCTTGTTGGTACAAACACCAGGCTTAGCCTAGATGTACTGAGCTTACTACTGTAAGATCAAGTACAGGTTGCGAATGGGCTAGCCTATATCCAGCTGTAGATCTAGCCAGATGTTCAAGAGCATTAATGTATTGAGTGACTGATGTACATATGTTTTGCACAATTTACCGATCTGCGCAATCGTGCACTGCGTGTTTTAACGATCGTAAAATTGCACAGCCATCTTCAGATAGCGCTGCGCATTTTAACGACCGGCTCAAGGGGCACAATAGTACTATGTATGCAGGAGAGAATAAGGACACTTCCGTGTCTTTCTTGCAGTGACTTCCTTTGGATAAAAATTTCCAATTCTCGAGATATTCAGAAATATAAAATAAATTAAATGTACTTTGTGAACTTTGAGTTTGATACCTGGCATTGTATCATTCTTGTGAGCTTTCAGTTTTATATGTTAATTTTCATTTTCATTTTTTACGCTTTTGAAAATGTATGTGAATGTTCCTTGATGTGGGTAAAAGAATAAAGATGGAAAGGGTTTTTTTTTTAAGTATAATTATTTCAAAAATATAAAAATTACCGCATAAGATTGCAGTGCAATCATACCATCGTTAAAATGTGCAGCACAATTTTACGATTGTTAAAACGCGATGCTTAAGATTGCACAGACTGGTAAATTGCGCGGAATACATAATATAATTGTGGGGACGAGTATGCTAGATTTAGTACTAGTGTGGTGTACGGGTCTGAGAATAGCTGTACTCAGAATCTCAGAATATATCACCCAGCAACTGTAAGTCGGTATCGAGTCAGGCCTTCGTAGGGCTATCGCAGATGATCAAAGGGGTTTTTAGTATAAAAGTTAGATCTATTTCGAAAACGGGGGTCAAATTTCAGATACAGTCTGGTGAACATAAATCCAGGTATCAATTGTTGTCAACAGACATGCATGAAGTTGCACAATGCCCATTGGAAAGTTGTTATAGAATGTGCATTTCTGATCTTATGTTATAAGGAATGGTATTCCAAAATCTGCTGGTACCTAAATAAAAGGAATCCTTGTATATACATATCTGTCCTGGCATACAAAACAAAGGAATTGTTGGGATTCCTGGTCCTGACTCTGGATTATTGTTGGATGGTTTATTGGTATGTCAATCTCCCCTTTGAGAGTTTGGTATAAAAGTGTAACTTTTGCTCAAGCTCTGTGTTCTGATAGAGGTAATCATTTCAAATTTTGGAGAAGTGAGGTACATGTAACTCTTTATCCTCTTGAATTATGGTGTTTGTAGCATAACAGGCAGCTCTTCTTTGCATATTTTCTAATTATATTCATTGTTGTACAAGAGTCCCATACTGAGCTACAATATTCTAGAGTACCGTAGTAGTACTTGTAATTTATTGTAATGGACTTGAAAATGTTTTAATAGCTGTAGTGCGGTAAAGAATTTTGTTTGGCTTAGGTTATGTCATTGAGTGCATGTGTATTAAAGGGGTACAGAATGTGGTGTGAGCATACAGCATGTAAAGTCTGACATCTAGATCTAGTCATCTACCAATCCATAAATCCACCCCAACCCCCTCTTTCTGTCTCTCTCCCTCTCTCCCCTTTCATCTAAAACGAATGCTAAAATCAGGCACAATATTAAAATATATTAAGTAAAAATCATAGTCCATCAACCACTAGACCTAGAGACTAGATAATCCATCATTCAATTATACTGAATCAGCTGTTATTTACATAGCAAAGCAACCAGGCAGGCCAATCTTACTGTCGCAATTTCTTAATATATCAGCCGACGCGCGTACGCTGGCAAGCCTCGTGTGTTGCACATGTTGTCACACAGGACACGGGCTGGCAGCAGCAAGTGTCGGGTCTCGTTAACGTACACTGCCTCTGGTTAGACCAAAGCCTGCCGCCCTGATCGTACAGCTAGCCGAGGAAAGAGTACCTCGAATCGTTGTTACATGGCAGTGACAGGTGGCATTGGTTGACAGCTTATTACACCGATAGATCGGGCTAAGGGTGGTAGCAAAGGAGATGTTCAAACATTTTTATTTTTAATAGGTCAGACAGTGGTCCAATGAAACGCAAGCACTGGTGGTAATTGGAATAAGACTGACGCATGTCATTATCAGAGAGGATAGCAGCTGAGAGGAGTGAAGTTTTGACCACCTTAGACAGCTTGCCGAATGGACAAGCGACTCTTGATCCCACTGGCTGGGCCTTTGACCCCCCCCCCCCCCCCCCGCTACCTTCCGAATTTTTTTTACCTTTTCCAAAATCCAGTTACTCTGTACCTATTTATGTTAGATTTATGGAAAGTGGCCAGTTTCAGCAGATGTTGAGCTTTGCAGAACAGAAAGAATTTGACTTTATGTTATTTTGTTCATGTTTCATAGCTTTTCAAAAAATGACAAATTTTGAGGACAAACTTTTTGGGGGCCAAACTAGTCAGTACAATATTTTTGCTGGGGTTTTTTTTAGGGTTGCTGTTTCTGTCTTAAAATACACACAAAATATATAACAAAACAAAGAAAACTAACTTGAAAAGTTAATGATGACCTAGGCTACACTATTTCAAGTGTCACCACTTGACCGACTCAGGTGCACCAATGGCAGTGAATGAGTTAACATGTCCTTCTCAGTAATCAACTTTAAAGCTAAAATACCTCAACAGCCATGCTGGCTTGGCCTGCTGATCCTTCACTGCACTGTCTCTGAAAACCTTTCACATCACAGTCCCTTTCTGAAAACAATAAGGATATATTGTTTATCTCAATCAAATTCAAACTATTCAAAAAGGGACAATAAAATAATCATATTTGATCAGTTATTTCCAACGGAGAATTGGAAACTTTACAAGACCAAATGCAACATTGAAGATATTTTGAACCAGAGAAAAACAAATTACATTCAGCAGCATTTTAAACCATGTGCATGAAATTAAGAACATGATAAAGCATTCTATACTTAATCAAGCTTTACAAAAAAGCACAAAAGACCCCCCCCCCCCAATTGCCCTAGCAGAGGAAGAAATTTGAGAGCGACAGAATAAAACTAAATATTCGGAAACAATCCCATTTTTTCCCTTTTCAAACGACAGCTGATAAGTGGCTGTTTGCAAGTTCAGAGGTGTGAAACCTGGAAAACTCTGGAAAAGTATTCGATTTGGTGTAACTTCCAATCTCAACCTGAGATAAGTGGATTATTCATGCGGTCATAACACTTATTCATACATCGCATCAATTTGCTATAAAAGATGAGGCATATATTTCATTGTTCTCTTTCATTATTGACTCCCTCGGCACGCTCGCATGACCGCCGTCTGACCATGACGCCACAGCAGGTGCCCTGCGGCGCAACGTAAGTGGGTCATCGATCGATAAGAACGTTGTTCCGATCAACCCCGCAGGACCAGAGTTAATCAGAGTATATTGCCTAGTGGCAATGGCAACAAAAACAAACCTACTTTCAGTAACACTGTCTTGAAAAGAAACCGACCGCAGAGGTCGTGGTTTCTTCAAACCACTTTGACGAGGAGCCCGAGCTGCAATTCCTATTCCAGTAGATGCAGACATTGTGGTTGGAGGCTTGAGCAAAAGAGCACTGCAAAAACATTAAACAATATTCAATTTAATATTTTGATGCAATCATAAACCAACAAAAATAAAAAGGCACAATTCAACACCATCATAATAAAATAAATAATAATTTTAAAATGCTTTATAAAGCATCTATTACATATTTGGCAACTTGGAAACACATGTGTCACTTTTCCCATAAAACTACAACAGCTACAGAGTTGAAAGTTGGCAAGTACCTGCAAAAAGATAGATAGGTCCCCATGACGGAGCCCGCTTTTTTATTTATTCATTTCCTGAATTTAGACAAATATATTTGACAAAAGGTACCTGTCTTTTTGGCCTTTATGATTATTCTACAGAGAAACAAAACAAATCTGCGTAGCTCTCCTTCACAACGGAAGTTCATTACTGCTCTTTAACACGATTCAAGAGATCAGATGGGGTGAGTAATTTTCGAGACTCATTTGTAATACGTGGAGACGTGATCCTGTGTACGAGTCCAAAGAGTTCTTTTTAATACAGGGCCCAAAGAGAAAAACTTTTTTATTACTGGGTCAATTTTTTTTTTTTTTTTTTTGTTTGGTTGCTAGCCTGTAGAAGTGCCATGCATAGTTTCGTGGGCATAGGTAAATTTGTCAATGAGCTAGAATTTTGTTTAACGCTGTCAGAGGAAAGTGAACAAGCTATAGACACTGCCTGTATGATTGTGAAGACGTCAGTGTGTTCCTTTTACAGTGTAGCAGCCCTTTCATCCATTATCTTCTTAGTGCTTTTTTGTGATGGTGTGTAAGGCAAAACACGTATTTTGTAATTGTGAAGGGCTAGACAATAAAACACTAAAGCAATGTAGATAAAGAGGAGTTAATCAAGGCAGACCTAATCTAAAGCAGTATAGATCTAGAAGCCGGGTGTGACTGAAAGCCTAGACAGCAATGTAGGTGTAAAATGCCCCTGCGGCGTAGACCAATAGGAGCAAAGACGCCAAGGCGTCGACCCGAGCAAAGCCGGGTACTCAGCTAGTATAATATATAAAACCCATGCTTACGCACTTCACAACTAACCCTCAGCAGACTAGGACCACCCAGTAAAAAAAGTGAAATCATGAGCCAGCTGTTATTACATTTACTACATGCAGGTCGTTCGTACGAAAGGGTCTGAATTTCATCATAAAAACATTTTTTTATTTTTTAAATAAACATTTCCATTAAAGTTGTAGATTTTTATCTTTTTTAATAAAACAGTGCTTCCAACAGCTGAAGTTGAAGAAAAGTCAGGACAATTCTGCCGAGAGTCTGGGGGCAATTACGCTTAGTGTGATAAAATTCAATTAAAAACCATAAAATATTTCAAAAACTATTAATTTGCGATGGAAATAAAATAAAGTCGATATTCATGTTCAGCACATCAATATCAATATATATAGATTCTATGTACCGGTAGTATTGTAGTAGAAAATGGACATCTCTAGTAGCTAAGTGTGAGACAGGAAGTAAACTCGAATCAGTATCACACTTTGAGATACTAGATTCTAGTTGTCAATTTTCTACTAGATTTACGTATTGATACGCCGAGCATGAATATTTACTTCATTACCATGTTTCCATCACAAATATTTGATAGTTTTTAATCGAACTTGGTCACACTAGATCTAGATCTAAGCCTTATTGCATAGTAATTTCCGCGCTTTGAACCAATCAGGACGGTTTCAACCTCCTGTATTAAACCATGACTTGAATTTTCACCATGGGTGAGAATAAAAATACGATCGAACTCTCACCTCAGGTGAGACTTGCTAGCGTAGGCGATTCTCACTGGGTGAGAAACAAGACCTGATTTTCCTAATTTCTGAATACTGTCTATCAGTGTGGGTGATCAAATTAACAACAAAGGAAAAAAATGATGTTATAGCACTCATTTGGTCGTCTACAAAGATGCTATGGCTATTTCACTTTTCGAATCATCCAAACTACCCCGTTGTCGTTTTGTTTTGTCCGAAAGTTCTCGCCACTCCTTAGAATCTCTCTCTCACTGCCTGCAGACAAAACTGCACGCTTTCAACACAAGAGTGCTGGAACATTTGCTTACACTGGTATCACAGTGAACGAACACCGGGTGAGAATAGCCAAAAGATTTGCCCTCACCTCGGGTGAGGGGGGGGGCTGCACAGTTTGTCACAGTCCCAGTTTGTCACTTTCTTTCTTTTTTCTTCCACTTGTACCGGTGGGTGTCGCGGGGAGATACAGGCGTCTGTCTGCAGCAAGGCGAGTGGCCTGTAGGAGGGACATCCCGTGAGCTCTGAGGGGGTTTGCCACAGATTCACTCCATCATCGCCTTGGTCTTCCTCTGGCTCTCCATCCAGAATATTTAATGTTGTATGCTCTCAGAAATGGATGGTTTGAGGGCATTCGCGTGAGGTGTCCAAACCACTTGACCCTTTGTTTTTCTTTGTGTGGTAGAACTGGTGTTGCTCCTACGGTGTCCCTTAAGAACTCATTTTTTATTTTGTCTTTTCTAGTATTGTTGACCGCTCTTCTTAAGCATTTCATCTCGCATGTGACCAGTTCCCTCTCTAGGGCTTTGATTAGGGACCATGTCTGGCACTATGTGAGTGTTGGAAGGAAAATGGCGTTGATGAGCTTCACCTTGGTGCTCATGGGTATATTAATTATTGGGATGTTTCAGGAGAGGGTCGAGTAGATAGCTGACTGTGTTGGCTTTCTGGCATCTAGTCTCTATTTCTCGATCTGATTTTCCATATTCTGTGAAAATGCTGCCCAAGTATTTGAATTCGCTGCTTTGTTTTAGTTGGGATCCATTGATGTTGAAATCCACTTTGTCTGGTCTCCTGCTAATTGTCATGACTTTGGTCTTGCTAATACTGATCTTCATATATCATATTTCTCGCAGCTTGAATTTAGTTGGTTCATATGCTCCTGTAGCTGGGTCTTGTTGTTCATCATTGCCAGGTCGTCTGCAAACATGAGTTCGTTGAGTGCCTCTGGGTCTGGATTGGCCTCCTTTGTAATCTGGTCCATGTAGATCCCGAAGAGAAGAGGGGAGAGATTGCAGCCCCGTCTGACTCCGGATGTTACTGGAAACCAGTCCAATGTTCCACTGGTAGTGCAGGCTACGCTTCTGCTGTTGGCATAGATAGCCCTGATGTTGTCTAGCAGTTGTCCCTTGATGTCGTACTGCTCCAGGATTTTCCATAGCTGGTTTCTATTTACTCTTGTTTGTTTTGTGTTTGTAAAGTGTTTTACAGCGCTCGCAACTGCATGAGGTCATATGAGCGCGCGGTACACACCTGTAATATTTTCAGTTGGTAGGAAATTTTGAATTTTGCCCGGGTGGCGGCCGAAGCCTACTCTTATCGATTTTAGACCACCAAGGGATCTTTAACATGCACAACTTGCACACGGACCCTCCGAGATTTTTCGCCGTTGTCCGAGAAGGCTAGGTTTAGATCTTTCCTACCAGAAGATCAGGGGTGTGGCAGAAAGACAGCAGTAAGGAGGAGCCAAGGATGGCTTCGGTTGTGATGCCATCGTCTCCAGCTGCCTTGTTCTTTGGACTAGTCTTCAGTGCTTCTCTCACTTCACTCTCCAGGATGGTAGGTTCTGAGTGCTCTGGGTAGTTGGCGGTGATGGGGCACGGTGTGTTCTGTGCCTGTACTCCTGATGGATTTAGTAGTTCTTGAAAATATTCTTCCCATCTCTTTATTATTTCCTTCTCTTCGTGTAGAGCTTCTCCATTAGTATCGTTGATGACAATGGTGGGTACATAGGGTTCGTCTCTCACTTTCATTGTCTTCACCTTCTTGTAGAACTCTCTAGATGAGGTCTTGCAGGTCTCACTTAGCTTTTCGCCATACTGGGTCCATGACTTTTCTTTTGATGTTATAACGACTTTTTAGCTGTGTCTTCTTGCAAGTCAATATTTAATGTAGTCCTCTTCGTTTTTTACTTGACCCATACATTATAGTCTCTTTTTTCCCCTGATAGCATCTTTAACTTTTTCGTTCCACCAGGCCGTTGCTTTTCTGTTTTCCTCTTGTCTTCTTGGTACCACAGACTTCTTTCATAGTGTCCAGGAGAGTTGTTTTGAAGGTGTCCCAAGCTTCCTCAACGGTTGGTATTGTAGAGTTGATAGAACCTAGCTTTTCATTTAGGGTGCATCTGATTTGAGCCTGCACCTGACCATTTCCGAGTTTATGTATATTTAGTCTCTCTTGCTGTCTTTTATGGTTTTTTGGTTTACTTTCTTTCTTGGTGGTCAACGTTGTGACGATTGGCCTGTGGTCTGTGACCAGGCCTGCATTGCGGATGGCTTTTGAGTCTGTGATTGTGATCCGCATTCGAGATTTCGCTAATATGAAGTCGATCTGTGTTGAGACCTTGATATTGTTCCATTTGTACCAGGTGTAGATCTGAGAGGTTTTGTGGTGGAAGAAGGTGTTGGTGATGAATAAGTTGTGCTCTGCATACAGTTCCAATACATGGTTGCTGTTATAATTGCATGGGTCACTGTGGACCCAGGTGTTTTCTCCACGTTGTTCTCTCTTTGACTCTTCCGTTGAAGTCTCCCATTACATAAAGACGGTCTTCCTCTGGGATGCAGTTAATTAAGTCTGAATGTTGTTCGAAGAAAGAGTCCTTTTCTTTGCCTGTGTATGAGTCGTTTCACGGTGCATACACCTGAATGTAGTTTGTGGTCTTTATGCCCTCTCTAATGCTGATTTTGATGAGTCTTTCAGAAATGAAGTCTGTATTCATTATTTCCTTTGCTTTGTCAGGGTGTACGATGAAACCCACACCGTGTTCAGCTCTTTGCTCTTTCCTTACGCCGCTCCAAATGAGGACAAAGTTGGAGTGGATCTCTTTTGTACTTGTCCCTTTTTTCCTGATGTCTGTAATGCCTATGATGGAGATCTTTTTCTAGGTGATGAACTCAACTATCTCAAGTTCTTTGTCAAGCTGCAAATATTCCAGGTCCCAATTTTTTTTTTTTTTCTTGTTCGTTGTC